TGTTTAACAATTGCGAATCTTTCTTTTTGCCTAATTACGTGAGTATTCTCCGAAAAGATTGCTACATTTAAAAATTCGGTCAGAACTACTTGTATCATATTTAATTATAAAAAGTAGATAAAAAGCACACGCTCTATAAAAAAAATAATATTGAAAGCATTAATCCAGCTGTACTTTTTGATGAGTTGTCTACAACTAAAAGAAAAAAAAGTATTTGATTTTTGGCACATCCAAATACATATTCACATACAGAATTATACATAATTATGACCACTGTAATCTATTTAAAATCAGTACGCATCACTTCATATGTTTATTGAACTATATAAGTATGAGCAAAATAGTTAAAAATTTATTTATTGAAGTTTAACTATCAATAATGTAGTGAATAATAATAGTCTATTTCTATGATAATGATGCTTGTGGTTGTCGAACTTGTTTCATCGGCTTATAATTATCGTTTTCTCTCTTCAATTCTTCCCAAATTTGAAAATGACGGTTAGGGCACTTCTGCTACTTTAATCACCCTGCAAGCTTCCGTGAGGTTGTCTCTGTTGAACATAATTGAAATAATTAGTTAGTACAATAACACTTGTAATTTTGTAAGTAATTATTTATTTATTCTTGTGAAATAAAAGACATCGCATGTCAATCTAACGCAACAAACGTAAATAAACCAAAGTGGTAGAAGTGTCCCAAGTCGAAATTTGAGTTCTGTTTTAGCAGCAGAAGTGTCCAAGCCGTTTGAAGGCTGATTTACCGCCTGAGAATGCGTCTGTTTTGATGGTAGAAGACGGCGCAGGTGAAAAATACTGCTAAAACAGACGTACTTGGTTCTGTTTCGACCGTAAAAAATATCCGAAGAACATTTATTATTATTATTATTTTTGTTAATATTATTATTTTTATTATTTTTATTTTTATTTTATAAACATTCGTTTATAAGAAAATGCATCACTTGAATCTTTAAATGACTATATCTTATAAACTATTGAAGTTACGGCTTTTGTGATTCAGGACAATTTTATAGAGTAATTATTGGACTGCTCAAAAATGATTTTTTTTTATTGTTAATTCCATTTCTCCATCAGTTTTTTTTATTTATTCAAATTATTACATGGTTAAGGGTAGATTTTCTGGATTTTATTGTCACATTTATGTTCATACACACAACAGATTATTATATGTAAAATCCAGAAAAATGTATCCTTGACCGTGTAATAATTTAAATAAATAAAATAAACTGATAATCAAATCAAATTAAAAATATAAAAAAATTATTTTTGAGTAGTCCAATAATTACGCTATAAAATTGTAGTGAATCATAAAAGTCGTAATTTCAATAGTTTAAAAGACATCATCATTTAATGATCTAAGTAATGCATTTTTTTATAAAAAAATATGTATAAAAATTAAACCATAATAGATATCGAGCATATAATAAATTTATTCTATAAATTAATAAATTGTCTGAAAGACCGTCCAGAATGTCAAAGACCGTATCATCAATAGCTTAGAAGTTATAACAATTTATAAGCTATTAAAATAGTTGATCGCTTCAACTTTGATGGGGTAAGGTATTTTAAATTTCAATAAAAAATAGAAGACAATTTTCTTTACAGCTCTGATGCACGTGGCTAAACTTGTAATTTTTTAAAGCTACGGAAAAAAAATAAAATGACAATAGAAATTAGTTTATAACAAATTGTTTGTAAAATAAACAATGAAAATTCAAATGAAAACAGAATTCTTTCATAATTATATTGAGAATTGTAATTGATGATTGAAAAAAAACATGATTTTTCAATAAATGATTTAAATGGCTGATAAATAAAAAAAACAATTATAAACGATTAAAAAATTTTTTTAAGAAATTTTTATTTTTTAATCGTTATTTCACTAAGACAATAAAATGACGAAAAAAAATTTTTCAATAATATTCAACATGTCTATTTGTTTATCGCAAATTTTTAAACAACTAATGTTACAAATTCTTCAGCCAAGCTACTATACGCAATATATTAATACAAAAACAACCGAAATTGAAGATTTCGGAAAAAAAATTTTTTTTATAACATTAGCTTCATATTTCAATTTTTGATAACTTTAAAAAATCATTATCAACAAATGAAAAAACTTTTATAAACTTTTACAACGGAATCTTGTTTATTACTTATTTATAACAAGAGCTCCCAAAATAAAAAAAAGTTATACACATTTTTTTAATTTTTACAGAAGATTTTATGAAATCTCAAATCTACGAAAGATTTGTTAAATTACGATTAAATAACTTAAATAAAAATCAAGCTAAAATTTTTTTTTGCGGAGCTATATTCCTTCAAGCGTTTAGATGACACTATAATTAATTCAGATTTCTAAATTAATATTGAATGTTATCAAAATATTATTTTGTGTTGCATACTTTGCTTGGTGGCGACGCCTAGGCCCCGAAACGGCCACGTGGAGCCCAAGTTTCAACGTTAAATTAAAATTAACAATAATGGAGCTACAACTCCAGGAGTCGAGACTTATTTCACTAAAATTTCCTACTCTTGGAGAGGAAAAAAAGATGGCGGCCTGAGTACTTGTGTGTTCGCTAAGCTCGTCGTTTACTATCATTTTACTGCATAAATACCTGTTGTTTTTTTCTGTGTCTGTGTTTTATGTGACGTCGAAAGTTTCTATTTCAATTTTAGATAATAATTACTAGTGTGCCTTGTGTCTACATATCTATTTTAAAGCACTAGAATCGAATTTACGCGCGCAAGCGCGCGCCTTGACTATAGAGTTTGCATATATTTTCATGCTTATGATATATTCGACCAATCATGTTACGAATAGTTTGATGCCACATACATTTCATCTCAATTTTATTATAGGATTATTGACGATATTGGGCCACGCAACTTGACAGTGAATATAATTAGTAGTTATTTCTACATCTGACCATGGAGAGCGCCACCGATGCCTTTTCTATAGCTCAACTCCAGAGTAGCATTACTAATGCTATAACCAGTGAAATACAAAAAATAATTGACAGCAAGCTTTCCGTCATTGTTGACCTCAGGGAGGAGGTTCGGGAAATGAAAAAAACCAACGAGGAAGCCATCAAGAAATTCAACTCTGAGCTTGAGCAAAGAGACTCGAAATACGACGGCAAATTCGAAGAAATAGAGCGTAGACTTGCGCAGCTTGAAGCCAAACTTGCCACAGATAATGCACCTTCGTATAGCTCTGCCTTACAGACAACTTCTCCATTAGCACACGAATTGGCAGAAGAACTTAAGCAGTATATAGACAAAATCAGTGGAAAATTAGAAGGGGTAGACAAGCAACTCAGGCAGTCCAACATCATTATAAAAGGCTTAAGCACAAGCAACACACCTCACCATAGAGTAAAGGACCTGGTAAATAAGTTCCTCGCGGGCAACCTGGGCATGTCAAATTGTGTTGAAAATGCCCAGATCTTAGGCAAAAGTGGTATCATAATTAAAACTAACATAACTTCCTTGGTCTACAAAGAGGCAATCATGAGGACGAAAACGAACCTGGGACAAAAAAAAGTATACATCGAGCATGACCGCACCCCAGAGGAGCGAAAAATATACCACTCCCCCAGGATCAGAGCCAGACAGCTAAAAGAAGCAGGTCACAAAGTTAAGATGGGTAACAATCAACTGATGGTTGATGGTGTGTGGGAAAGCGCAACCGCTCTCCAACTTCATGACAATACAAACCGTTCCGACATGGAATATGACGACAAAGGCACCTCAGCCCGAGACAACACACATAACCTAAATTTTGCTCCAAAAAACGACAACTAAGAATAAACTTCTGGAACTGCCATGGTCTGAACAACGTAGATAAAAACGACTCAATTTCCACATCTGACATACTCTGTATCTCTGAAACATGGTTCACCGGCAGCAACCCTTCCCGACCCCCATCACTCAACAATTTTAACACTATTAATGTCCGGGCTATAAAAACCACAGTGTCGGAAGGGCCAGTGGCGGTTTATTGGTCGGCATCAACAATGATCTCGTGCACGAGCTATTAGACAGCACACCTTGGTGGATCTGCGTTAAAAGAACTACCGAAAACTTCTGCCTAGTCTTGTGCACGACATATTTCAGCCCAACTCTCTCACTCACACACTCTCTTGACATGCTACAAAGTCTTCTAACTGAGCTACAAACTGAACACCAACCAGACTTATTTATAATGGGTGGTGACTTCAACGCTCGCGTAGGCACCGGAGATGACATCCCAGTTGACTCTATCGAAGGCAGTATGTTGATACCAACCAGATCTTCTTTAGACAGCATAAAGACAGCGAGAGGCACCCAGATGCTAGACTTTTGTGACTTAAACGGTCTAATTCTCCTAAATGGCAGAACTGCTGGCGACATCCCCGCTCAACAGACCTACTGCTCGACCAACGGCAAATCTGTGATTGACCTTGTATGGGCCAATCTAGCAGGCACTTGCTACATAAACCAACTGCGAGTGCTAGACACACCCACTCCTCCGACCACTTCCCTGTATCTTTACTAATCACTATACCTAGTTCAACTCCCACTGACACTGACTTTATCACCCTCCCTACTACACCTTCTGTAAAAACACGCTGGTCTGAGGAAAAAAAAGATGCTTACAAACACGCAATGCTCCTATCACAAAAATTGGAAATAAATTTTGACTCCAAGGACATAGAAACTCTGAGTTTGAATATTACCGCAGCCATCACAGAAGCAGCGACCTCAACAGGCATGACCTTAAGTAACACTGCACGCCCCAGAGCAATAACACACAAACCCTAGTTCGATGACGACTGTCTCGCAACAAAAAAACATCTCGCAACAAAAAAACATCTCAGTGCAGCCCTTAGACGAGCTAGGCAAAATTAATTTGACCCCCAATCCCTATCTCGGTATCTTAGAGCCAAGAAAGAGTACAAGGACATTCTAAACACAAAACTGAAAGATTTTCGCCTCTCCATGATAAATAAATTCGCACAAGTAAAAAATTCAACTGAATTCTGGTTCACATTTAACAGTTTCCGCAGAAAACACTCCTACATCACCCGACTTCCCCTCGACACGTGGGTCAGCTTTTACTCAAACATTTACCCGCAAAGAATAATTGATAATACCACCTTCTTCGGCATACTGGATCCCATCACAGACGGTTCCATTAACTTTTGAATAAATTAGGAGTAGTGTCAAAGCCATCAAAAAAGGCAAAGCTCCTGGCCTTGACTCGATAACTGGTGAATTTTATATGAACTTACTCGGCAACTGGCTATTATACCTGCAAGTACTCTTCAACAAGATCATCGACAATGAGCAAATACCACCGAACTGGGCCCAGGTTGCCTTGGTCATGCTCCATAAGGAAGGAGACAAAACGATCCCGTCCAGTTACAGAGGTCTTGCAATGGTCAATCTTATAACGAAAATCATCACTTCAATCATCAAGGGTAGACTCGACAATTGGGTTGTACACACTGGCTTACTCCCAGAGGAACAAGCTGGCTTCACAGCTGGCAAGAGCTGCTCAGAAAACATCTTTATCCTATGGACGACAATCCAGCTGAAACTCAGGAACAAGAAAGGCAAAATGTACAGACTTTACGTGGACTTCAAGAGAGAATTTGACTCCGTTCCGCATCAACTATTGTGGAGAAAACTCTTTTGCATGGAACTGAGTGCCAAGATAATTAGAATTCTCGAACTACTGTACGACCAAGCAACTTTTCGGGTCAGATCTGAGGGAATTCATTCGGATAAGTTTGAAGTCACAGACGGTGTCCTCCAAGGGGAAATCCTCAGTCCATTATTGTTCATTTTATACCTCAACGACATTGTAACCTTCTTCAGAGACAGAGGACTAAAAGGCATCCAGTAAAACAGTAGCACTGACCTGATTCTCCTATTATACGCGGACGACCTGGTGATACTGGCTGACTCAACTTTCGACCTAAAAAGGAAATTTGCAATCCTGGAGGAGTACTGCAAGATCAACAAGCTCACAGTTAACCTTGACAAAACAAAGGTTGTGCACTTCAGAAGAGGAGGACCTGGAGATAGGACTAAACTTTACTACAATAGCTCCCTCGTGGAGTGGACAAATGAATATGAATACCTAGGTGTAGCCTTCACCGCTTCGGGCTTCTAACTGCAGCCAACGCTGCCTCACGAAAGGCAAAACTTGCCACCGGCGCAGCTATTTCCACTCTAGGATTGGAGCTGACTCCGGGCAGGGTATGCTAAGAATATACAAAAGCTGCGTGCTGAGTACACTACTTTACACGGCACAGATTTGGGGTTTGCGCTACACAGACAAACTGGAGCGAACTCAAACAATGTTCTTCAAACGACTTCTTTCGCTTGTTTCTGGCATACCGAGCGTCGAGCTGAGACTGGAGCTCAACTTGTCAAGGGTAAACCTGGAAATCCTGAAGCTATCATTATCCTGGGTCTGCCAAATTCTCAATATAGACGACCGATGACTGCCCAAGATCTGTTTTCTCCGACTGGCTCACCTATCCTCTATCCACCCAGAGGACAGTAAATATAGTTGGGTCATACAGCTCAAAGCCCTACTAAATCTGGGTCAGACCCCTGACTATCTCTGGAGCTCGCTCAACCCAGCTCACTGAGAAACTTTGAGAACTATAATAATACGAAATGCTAAAACTTAACTCAGAGAGATTGACACAATTTCATCTGTAGACAAACCAGGTTGCCAAGTACCACAACTGATAAATACCGACCACTGAATGCTCCCTGTTATGTCCACCCGCATTTTTTAGTAGATTTAAAAGAAATCTAACTATTGCGTTTGTCCTCTTGACGCAACTTTTAAAAAATTTTGCTATTTTCTAACTCAGTTCGTCAAGCTGGTTCCGAAAATGCCATTAGTTCAAAAGTTTATATATGTATGTATATATATATATATATATATATATATATATATA